AGAAGGACAACAACAACAAGAAGGACAACAACAAAAACAAAAACAACAACAACAACAACAAGCAGGAGGACAACAACAACAACAAGCAGGACAACAACAAAAACAAAAACAACAACAACAACAACAAGCAGGACAACAACAACAACAACAAGCAGGACAACAACAAAAACAAAAACAACAACAACAACAAGCAGGACAACAACAACAACAACAAGCAGGACAACAACAAAAACAAAAACAACAACAACAACAAGCAGGACAACAACAAAAACAACAACAACAAGCAGGAGGACAACAACAACAACAACAAGCAGGACAACAACAAAAACAAAAACAACAACAACAAGCAGGACAACAACAACAAAAACAACAACAAGCAGGACAACAACAAAAACAAAAACAACAACAACAACAAGCAGGACAACAACCAATGCAGCAAAGACAAGGAAAAAACACAACAATGAAGACAACAGAAAATAGAAAAGGAAGATGACCACAACAGGTTCAAGTCCCGCTCAGCGCGTGTTCTGTGAGTGTGAACCAACCCTGATGTTGTGTGAGTGTGAACCAACCCTGATGTTGTGTGAGTGTGAACCAACCCTGATGTTGTGTGAGTGTGAACCAACCCTGATGTTGTGTGAGTGTGAACCAACCCTGACGTTCTGTGAGTGTGAACCAACCCTGACGTTCTGTGAGTGTGAACCAACCCTGATGTTGTGTGAGTGTGAACCAACCCTGATGTTGTGTGAGTGTGAACCAACCCTGACGTTGTGTGAGTGTGAACCAACCCTGACGTTGTGTGAGTGTGAACCAACCCTGACGTTGTGTGAGTGTGAACCAACCCTGACGTTGTGTGAGTGTGAACCAACCCTGATGTTGTGTGAGTGTGAACCAACCCTGATGTTGTGCGAGTGTGAACCAACCCTGATGTTGTGTGAGTGTGAACCAACCCTGATGTTGTGTGAGTGTGAACCAACCCTGATGTTGTGTGAGTGTGAACCAACCCTGATGTTGTGCGAGTGTGAACCAACCCTGACGTTCTGTGAGTGTGAACCAACCCTGATGTTGTGTGAGTGTGAACCAACCCTGATGTTGTGTGAGTGTGAACCAACCCTGATGTTGTGTGAGTGTGAACCAACCCTGACGTTGTGTGAGTGTGAACCAACCCTGACGTTGTGTGAGTGTGAACCAACCCTGATGTTGTGTGAGTGTGAACCAACCCTGACGTTGTGCGAGTGTGAACCAACCCTGACGTTCTGTGAGTGTGAACCAACCCTGACGTTGTGTGAGTGTGAACCAACCCTGACGTTGTGTGAGTGTGAACCAACCCTGACGTTGTGTGAGTGTGAACCAACCCTGACGTTGTGTGAGTGTGAACCAACCCTGATGTTGTGTGAGTGTGAACCAACCCTGACGTTGTGTGAGTGTGAACCAACCCTGACGTTGTGTGAGTGAAGTCCTCCGGGGTGTTGGCTCATGTACTCTGACAGATCCGTCTGCTGCAAAAAAAAAAACATAGAAGAAGAAACATTGAGAGTCCTCACTGCAACAACAGCAGTGCCCCCCGCTGGTCAACCTCCACATGCTCCTCACCACGTATTCAAAGACGAGCGTCAGAGACTCTCTGGTGTGGATGATGTCATGGAGGACCACAATGTTGGCGTGTTTCAGACCTTTGAGCAGAGAGGCTGGGCATGCACACGCACGCACGCACGCACGCACACACACACACACACATACACACACACACATTAAAAACAAACAGATCTGCAGTGAAGAATAAGTGTTTTTGTGATAATACCTTCTCTGATGGCGGTGAACGGCACGCCCTCCTCCGTCTTCATACGAATCACCTTCAGAGCCACCAGCTGCCCGTTTATCCTCCAAACATTTACCAAAATAAAGTTTCAACTTCCTACACTGTTAAAAAGTGACATGATACACTGCACAACAGGTGTAGAACAGGTGTAGTCAGGTGTAGCCAGGTGTAGTCAGGTGTATGCAAAACAGGTGTAGTCAGGTGAAGTCAGGTGTAGTCAGGTGTATGCAGAACAGGTGTAGTCAGGTGTAGTCAGGTGTATGCAGAACAGGTGTAGTCAGGTGAAGTCAGGTGAAGTCAGGTGTAGTCAGGTGTAGTCAGGTGTATGCAGAACAGGTGTAGTCAGGTGTAGTCAGGTGCATGGGGCGAACTGACCTGCTGATTCCTTTGTAGACGGAGGCATATGCTCCTTCACCCAGTTTCTCCAGACTGACGTAGGAATGAGCCGCTCCAAACTGAAGACCGGGTTTCTGAGCACAGAGACAGGAAACACTCAGACTCAGGGTCTAGGACACGCCTACAAATGATTGACAGGTGGTGTTCTGACCCAGGCAATGTGGTCCTGGCAGCCATTCCCTCCCAGGGGGTCGCTGTTGCTGCGCCCTCGCTGAACTCGGTACCGTCGGACCTGCAGGGTGTGGAACCAGTGCGGCTGGGACCCTGAGGGGTAGGACTCAGATTGGTCCAAATCCAGCTAAGACAGATAGAGACCTGATCAACAGGACCGCCTTAAAACCTTCAAAGTTACATTAAAAACCTCCTTAAAAAGGTTAGTCCAAGAGGAGTAAAGTTAGTCCAAGAGGAGTAAAGTTAGTCCAAGCGGAGTAGAGTTAGTCTTAGAGGAGTAAAGGTAGTTATAGAGGAGTAAAGTTGGTCCAAGAGGAGTAAAGTTAGTCCAAGAGGAGTAAAGATAGTCCAAGAGGAGTAGAGTTAGTCTTAGAGGAGTAGAGTTAGTCTTAGAGAAGTAAAGTTAGTCCAAGAGGAGTAGAGTTAGTCTTAGAGGAGTAAAGTTAGTCTTAGAGGAGTAAAGGTAGTTATAGAGAAGTAAAGTTAGTCTTAGAGGAGTACAGTTAGTTATAGAGGAGTAAAGTTAGTCCAAGAGGAGTAAAGTTAGTCTTAGAGGAGTAAAGTTAGTCCAAGAGGAGTAAAGTTAGTCTTAGAGGAGTAAAGTTAGTCTTAGAGGAGTAAAGTTAGTCTTAGAGGAGTAAAGTTAGTTATAGAGGAGTACAGTTAGTTATAGAGGAGTAAAGTTAGTCCAAGAGGAGTAAAGTTAGTTATAGAGGAGTAAAGTTAGTCTTAGAGGAGTAAAGTTAGTCCAAGAGGAGTAGAGTTAGTCCAAGAGGAGTAGAGTTAGTCTTAGAGGAGTAAAGTTAGTTATAGAGGAGTAAAGTTAGTTATAGAGGAGTAAAGTTAGTCCAAGAGGAGTAAAGTTAGTCTTAGAGGAGTAAAGGTAGTTATAGAGAAGTAAAGTTAGTCTTAGAGGAGTAAAGTTAGTCTTAGAGGAGTAAAGTTAGTTATAGAGGAGTAAAGTTAGTTATAGAGGAGTAAAGTTAGTCTTAGAGGAGTAAAGTTAGTCTTAGAGGAGTAAAGTTAGTCTTAGAGGAGTAAAGGTAGTTATAGAGAAGTAAAGTTAGTCTTAGAGGAGTAGAGTTAGTCTTAGAGAAGTAAAGTTAGTTATAGAGGAGTAAAGTTAGTTATAGAGGAGTAGAGTTAGTCCAAGAGGAGTAAAGTTAGTCTTAGAGGAGTAAAGTTAGTTAAAGAGGAGTAAAGTTAGTTATAGAGGAGTAAAGTTAGTCTTAGAGGAGTAGAGTTAGTCTTAGAGGAGTAAAGGTAGTTATAGAGAAGTAAAGTTAGTCTTAGAGGAGTAGAGTTAGTCTTAGAGGAGTAAAGTTAGTTATAGAGGAGTAAAGTTAGTCTTAGAGGAGTAGAGTTAGTCTTAGAGGAGTAAAGTTAGTTATAGAGGAGTAAAGTTAGTTATAGAGGAGTAAAGTTAGTCTTAGAGGAGTAGAGTTAGTCTTAGAGAAGTAAAGTTAGTTATAGAGGAGTAAAGTTAGTTATAGAGGAGTAAAGTTAGTCCAAGAGGAGTAGAGTTAGTCTTAGAGGAGTAAAGTTAGTCTTAGAGGAGTAAAGGTAGTTATAGAGAAGTAAAGTTAGTCTTAGAGGAGTAGAGTTAGTCTTAGAGGAGTAAAGTTAGTCATAGAGGAGTAAAGTTAGTCTTAGAGGAGTAGAGTTAGTCTTAGAGGAGTAAAGTTAGTTATAGAGGAGTAAAGTTAGTTATAGAGGAGTAAAGTTAGTCCAAGAGGAGTAAAGTTAGTTATAGAGGAGCAAAGTTAGTCTTAGAGGAGTAAAGTTAGTTATAGAAGAGAAAAGTCAGTCCAAGAGGAGTAAAGTTAGTTATAGAGGAGTAAAGTTAGTTATAGAGGAGTAAAATTAGTCCAAGAGGAGTACAGTTAGTCTTAGAGGAGTAGAGTTAGTCTTAGAGGAGTAAAGTTAGTTATAGAGGAGTAAAATTAGTTATAGAGGGGTAAAATTAGTCTTAGAGGAGTAAAGTTAGTCTTATAGGAGTAAAGTTAGTTATAGAAGAGTAAAGTTAGTTATAAAGGAGTAAAGTTAGTCCAAGAGGAGAAAGTTAGTTATAGAGGAGTAAAATTAGTCCAAGAGGAGTAGAGTTAGTTATAGAGGAGTAAAGTTAGTCCAAGAGGAGTATAGTTAGTCCAAGAAGAGTAAAGTTAGTTTTAGAGGAGTAAAGTTAGTTATAGAGGAGTAAAGTTAGTCCAAGAGGAGTAAAGTTAGTTTTAGAGGAGTAAAGTTAGTTATAGAGGAGTAAAGTTAGTCCAAGAGGAGTAAAGTTAGTTATAGAGGAGTAAAGATAGTCCAAGAGGAGTAAAGTTAGTCCAAGAGGAGTAAAGTTAGTTATAGAGGAGTAAAGTTAGTTATAGAGGAGTAAAGATAGTCCAAGAGGAGTAAAGTTAGTCCAAGAGGAGTAAAGTTAGTTATAGAGGAGTAGAGTTAGTCTTAGAGGAGTAAAGTTAGTCCAAGAGGAGTAAAGTTAGTCCAAGAGGAGTAAAGTTAGTTATAGAGGAGTAAAGTTAGTCTTAGAGGAGTAAAGTTAGTCTTAGAGGAGTAGAGTTAGTCTTAGAGGAGTAAAGTTAGTCTTAGAGGAGTAAAGTTAGTCCAAGAGGAGTAAAGTTAGTCCAAGAGGAGTAAAGTTAGTTATAGAGGAGTAAAATTAGTCTTAGAGGAGTAAAGTTAGTCTTATAGGAGTAAAGTTAGTTGTAGAAGAGTAAAGTTAGTTATAGAGGAGTAAAGTTAGTCCAAGAGGAGTAAAGTTAGTTATAGAGGAGAAAAGTTAGTCCAAGAGGAGTAAAGTTAGTTATAGAGGAGTAAAGTTAGTCTAAGAGGAGTAAAGTTAGTCCAAGAGGAGTAAAGTTAGTTATAGAGGAGTAAAGTTAGTTATAGAGGAGTAAAGTTAGTTATAGAGGAGTAAAGTTAGTTATAGAGGAGTAAAATTAGTCCAAGAGGAGTACAGTTAGTCTTAGAGGAGTAGAGTTAGTCTTAGAGGAGTAAAGTTAGTTATAGAGGAGTAAAATTAGTTATAGAGGGGTAAAATTAGTCTTAGAGGAGTAAAGTTAGTCTTATAGGAGTAAAGTTAGTTATAGAAGAGTAAAGTTAGTTATAAAGGAGTAAAGTTAGTCCAAGAGGAGTAAAGTTAGTTATAGAGGAGTAAAATTAGTCCAAGAGGAGTAGAGTTAGTTATAGAGGAGTAAAGTTAGTCCAAGAGGAGTAAAGTTAGTCCAAGAAGAGTAAAGTTAGTTTTAGAGGAGTAAAGTTAGTTATAGAGGAGTAAAGTTAGTCCAAGAGGAGTAAAGTTAGTTTTAGAGGAGTAAAGTTAGTTATAGAGGAGTAAAATTAGTCTTAGAGGAGTAAAGTTAGTCTTAGAGGAGTAGAGTTAGTCTTAGAGGAGTAGAGTTAGTCTTAGAGGAGTAAAGTTAGTCCAAGAGGAGTAAAGTTAGTCCAAGAGGAGTAAAGTTAGTTATAGAGGAGTAAAGTTAGTTATAGAGGAGTAAAGATAGTCCAAGAGGAGTAAAGTTAGTCCAAGAGGAGTAAAGTTAGTTATAGAGGAGTAGAGTTAGTCTTAGAGGAGTAAAGTTAGTCATAGAGGAGTAGAGTTAGTCTTAGAGGAGTAAAGTTAGTCTTAGAGGAGTAAAGTTAGTCCAAGAGGAGTAAAGTTAGTCCAAGAGGAGTAAAGTTAGTTATAGAGGAGTAAAGTTAGTTATAGAGGAGTAAAGTTAGTCTTAGAGGAGTAAAGTTAGTCTTAGAGGAGTAAAGTTAGTCCAAGAGGAGTAAATTTGTCCAAGAGGAGTAAAGTTAGTTATAGAGGAGTAAAATTAGTCTTAGAGGAGTAAAGTTAGTCTTATAGGAGTAAAGTTAGTTGTAGAAGAGTAAAGTTAGTTATAGAGGAGTAAAGTTAGTCTTAGAGGAGTAAAGTTAGTCCAAGAGGAGTAAAGTTAGTTATAGAGGAGTAAAGTTAGTTATAGAGGAGTAAAGTTAGTTATAGAGGAGTAAAGTTAGTCTTATAGGAGTAAAGTTAGTTATAGAGGAGTAAAGTTAGTTATAGAGGAGTAACGTTAGTTATAGAGGAGTAGAGTTAGTCTTATAGGAGTAAAGTTAGTTATAGAGGAGTAAAGTTAGTTATAGAGGAGTAGAGTTAGTCTTATAGGAGTAAAGTTAGTTATAGAGGAGTAAAGTTAGTTATAGAGGAGTAGAGTTAGTCTTAGAGGAGTAAAGTTAGTTATAGAGGAGTAAAGTTAGTCTTAGAGGAGTAAAGTTAGTCTAAGAGGAGTAAAGTTAGTCTTAGAGGAGTAAAGTTAGTCTTAGAGGAGTAAAGTTTGGGAGTTAAAGGGTTAATGAATACCTCAGCAGGCGGGAGGGATGATGAACTCTTGCTTTTTTTAAAGTTGAGCTCCCTCATCATCTCCTCCTCCTCCTCGTCTCCTTTGCTCCTTCCTTTGCTCCTTCCTCTCTCCTCCTCCTCGTCCTCCTCCTGTCCACAGCAGCACCTCCTCACCCACCTCCCGGTCTCTGAAACCCACCGGGACAAGTCCTCCATCTTTTCTTCTTCTTCAGTCTCTCCTATCTCTCTCTCTCATGACTCAGATGGTTCAGGACGAGCAAACAGGGTCTCATGACCATCTCTCATTCACAACAACAGGGTCCATTCAACAGTGTGTGTGTGTGTGTGTGTGTGTGTGTGTGTGTGTGTGTGTGTGTGTGTGTGTGTGTGTGTGTGTGTGTGTGTGTGTGTGTGTGTGTGTGTGTGTGTGTGTGTGTGTGTGTGTGTGTGCTGCCCTCAAGTGGTCACTGACTGCTACTACAACATATCCCATGAGTAGAGTTGAACAGTGTAGCTCTAAATCATATTACAGATGATGCAGTGTGAAAACTCCAGTGTGGATCTGTCTCAGCTCCTCCATCATACTTGATGTTCTTCAGTTTGGACTGAACCACCAGGAAGTGGATGTACATCTCAGTCAGGGTCTTGGGCAGCTCTCCTCTCTTTCTGGTCTTCAGCACATCCTCCAGAACTGTAGCAGTGATCCAGCAGAAGACTGGGATGTGGCACATGATGTGGAGGCTTCTGGATGTCTTGATGTGGGAGATGATTCTGTTGGCCTGCTCCTTAGCTCTGAACCT